CTTTTGTTTTTAACCATTATCACACTAGTTGGTGATTTTACTGGGGGGGAGCAAGCAACATACATTAAAAACAAAAACTACCATTTGAGATGCCCAAGAACTCAAATTTAAAATTTATTCTTAGGAAAAAAGTTAAAAATTTGTGGTTAATTAGTTGTCAAAGTATTTGAAAGAGTTGCCCACTTTTCTTGTATTATGCATGCTGTCTTACATACTGATCTACCTCACTCTTTTTAACGTAAGACTCACATTAGGACACTCAGATCAGCACTGTGATTCCTACCAGTCTGTCCCAGCTCCCTGTTTCTACGAGGAGTCAGCTACCAACTGCCAATCACACGGCCGGCCCCCGAGGACAGAGACCATTTTGCGAGTCCCCTCCAAACCAGCACGGAGTCATGCCTGCAGATGCAGCTGGCATCTTACAGCCTGCAGCTAAGAGTCTTCACTGAGCCTCTGCCCTAGGCCAAGGCACTCTGCAAGCTGCAGAGATATGCTCACGTAGGTGGTAATCACTAAGCAAAATGCCGCAGTCAGGAAACAAGACAATGAAGCAAAATGCAAGGACCTAAAGTCTAGATCACTGGGGGTCTGTAACTTGTGGGTACACAAGTTATATATACATGTTAAAGCACTGATGGAATAATCCCATTTTTTAAAAATGTAATCACAGCACCTACTCTGAACCTAGCCCCAGGCTAACAGGTCCCATGCTGGTTCTTTCTGTCTTTGCTCCCACTCTCCTAAAGCATAAGCTTTGGCTCCACTTTACAGACAGAACCTCTGAGGTCCAAGGAAGTTTATCAGTGAGTTACCCAGAATTTGAATCCACATCCATCTAGCTCCAAATCTTATGCTGTGAGACACTGTTGATCAGGTAATAGATATTTCTAGAACAAAAAGAGCAGATTTTAAGCTAGCTCTGGTGGAAGAGGGAAGGGAATGGCTTCCTGGTAGAAACGATGGTATTTAAGAAAGAAGTCAGTGTGGCCATAGCCCCTGGGCTCCCCAACTGTGTGGCCTCTCTGCCTCCACCTTATCTGGCTAAACAGGATGACCCCAACAGAGCCCAAGGATGGTTCACCCTAGGGGTGGGCTCCTTATTCAAGGACAGCATAATGTTTAATCATCTCTATAGATTTGACAAATGGCGGCTCAGAATGTACTTGAAGATCAACATCAATGGGAAAATACACAAAATCCAAGTGAGCAGGTGAAGGAACGTGGACTTGGTGAGGAAGAGAGATACTACAGGTGAAGGTATGAATAGCAAGAAAATGGTATGTCTGCATAGACAGCTCCAGGCAGAGCTAGAACAAGGTCAGCACGGAGGCAGGAAGACAAGGATGGCGAGCCCAACAAGGGACAGTGGTGACGACGGCCTGTGTGCTCTGCCCATCTGGGCAGCCATGTAAGGCGCGGGTTGGGGGGTTAAGGAAGGGAGGTGTCTGTGCTGACTTGACAATCTGGCGCTATCTCCTCTTGCCTAGGCTCCTCTCCCTCTGCAAGAGGGGCCATGGGAGACACTGCTCTGTCCAGTATACCCTCTTGCCAGGGACAGTCCAAGCTGCTTACAAGATGAAGTTCAAAATGCTTTGCACACAGAGGAGCCCTCAGGTGTGGCCCACCCAGCCGGTGCAGCATCACTTCCCAGCACCCCTGCTCCCACCACATTCCCACCTGTGCCTTCTTTCTGCCGTCCCAACCGGGGACACTTCTGACCTCCTGGTCTCCAAATCTGCACTTGCTAAGACCCTGCCTACTCTCCAAGTCTCAGTTCAAAGGACACAGTGCCCTGGGGATTTCTTGGGTTATACCACCAGGTGTAAGTCCCCCCTGTACACCCTCCCGCATAGCCACTGCCTCGCACCGCAAATACGGTTTGCTCTCTTCCACATTCTCTCAGGTGCATGGGGTCATGGCCCACACAGCAGCCCACACCTAGTCACACTTGTAATAGTCTCAGACGGACATGGCCTGTGTGTATGCTCTGCTCACAGAAGGGCAGGGAGACAGTGAGTCATCAGTATAAGGGAGGCAGGTGATATCAGAGGGGGCCCAGAAAGGTTGAGGTTAGTAAGAGATGCTCAGAAGGGGAGCAAGTGCTCTCTGTGGACTCAGAGGAAGAACAGAGAGGTGGTGGGGAAAGCAGAGAGCCAGTGAGTACTGGGTTCTAGTGTGTCCTGAACTGTCCCCCCCGGCATGTCAAAGGACTCTGAGCCCAATGCCTCTTGGCTATCTGCCCCCTTCCCGCCGGGTTCCATGCCCGGACCCACCCTCCAAGGATAAGAAACCATGTTTATGAAGGGTGTAAGTGCTCAAGCTCGCAGTCTCTGCGGTGATGAGCAGGTGGACCTTACTCCAGGGCCCTCCACTACCTCTATTCCCCAGACGTTGGCATCTGCAGCTCTGACGTGAGGAAAGCATGTCAGGGAACCCTGGGCGTGTGCCCCCATCATATGCTGTAGGGGATACTTTCCACCTGCCTCTCTGGTTTCAGCCAAAGGAAAGCCCTTGAAGACATTATGGGAGGGGAAGAGAGATGGCTCTGGGTCACCTCTCCCGAGGAGTCACATCAGGCTGGCTATGTGCCTTGGTCAAAGGAAAGGGCTCCTTTGTGAAAAAGTCCTTGGTGAACTTCTTTACCCAGTCCTTCCTCCCCAGCCCGCCAGGATGAAGGCAGAGACAGCTGTTGTCACTAGCTTCAGTCACCACACGACCCTCTTATGAGTTCTCTTCGCTGATGCCCACCTTTGTAAACAGCCCATTACTAAGCCCTCCTCAAATTATCCTGACATGAGTGTTTCCTGTGTATCTTCTTTTGGGACCAAGATTGATGCAGAGATAGAGCAAAATCCTCAGCTCTGCTCATTAGTGAAAACCACAGTGGGAGAAATATCTGAATTAAAGGAATTAGGAGCTAAGACAAAGGAAGCAGCAAACATACCCACCAGACCCTAACATCATAGTACCAGACCCTAACAGCCCCAAACCTAAAAGATGTTTTACTGACTCCCAGAGAAAGCAGTATTCCTTTCTGAGGTTCTGCTTGACTTCATTCCTAGTCTGGATATGGAAGGCAAAGCAGAACTGAGCAAGGACAGAAACCTAAGGCCCTAACTTCATTTGCCTTGTATGAATTCCCTCAAGCAAAATAAAGAAGACACAAGACAGTATCCCATCGTTAATGTAAATGTTTGGAATTAGCCACACCACAGTTCCCCTCACATCCTATAAACAAGCACAGGGGGCGGGAGGGGTGTGGGCCCAACAGATTGTGTGTCTGGAGCCCAGCGAGGGTCAAACGGCTCCTCGGGACTCTGTGCTCTGCTCGTCTTCCAGCCCACAGAGGGTTTCTGCAGTGACATACCTGGCATCCTTCACTCGTTCATTAGCTTGATAATAACCAGCAATCACATAGCTATTATCTTTGCACCATGAATCAATCTGAAAGAGGAACAAAAATTGGGAAGAAAAGATGAATGATTTACCCTTAAATATCAAGTCTCAAAACCCAAAGGAGACCCCTCCCCCCACATGCAGGGACAAAACATGATATAATCTTCTATCTTTCTTCCCAGAAGAAAGGCTATGACTCAAAGGAAAAAAAACAAATAACACCAAGGCCACAAAAAACACAGAAGCCAGCCCCTTACTGTCCCAGGGATGGGGCATCTTTCTCTGGACAGAATCCTGTCCTGCTTGGCAGGGGTGGGACCCTGAACTGCAGACATGATCCCCTTCCCCACTCCCACCAGGCCCCCACCACAGGCATGAGATGGGAACAGTGCAGAGGAGAGTGGAAGAGGAGCAGGAGACGACCTCAACCACCTCCTCGTACAATGTAAAAAACTGGGGCATTCTAGGACTTGAGAAATCCTCAAGATTGTTAAATCAATCCTTTAGGGCTGGGTGTGAAGGGCTCAGGCTTGTAATCTTAGTACTCTGGGAGGTCGAGGCAGTAGGATCCCTCCTGGAGCTTAGGAGTTTGAGGTTGCTGTGAGCTAGGTTGATGCTATGACACTCTAGCCTGAGCAACAAAGTGAGATTCTGACAAAAAAAAAAAAAAAAAAAAAAAAAAAAGAAAAGAAAAAAAAATCAATCCTGTATAGCTAAGAAAAGCTCAGAAAGGTTCTGAGTTTGCACAACCAGGTACACGGGTGGCAGGACACACGTACATAACACTTAATTCCTGGTGAGGTGCTTTTAAATGGGAGCGTGGTGGTAGAACCTCAAAGTTTTTTGTTCTGTTTTATAATACCACTTTTCTCTCATCAGATTTAGCGTCCTGCAGGTCTAATGCCGTTATTAAAAACAACAAAAGGTCATCCTGTTTTGCCATAATGGAATTTTAATACACTGCAATAGATTCTATTCTCAGTCTGCAAAGGAGAAAACAAAATTGATACTTTACTTGTTTTTTTGAAGTAAATTAACTTGGTTAAAAATGTGCCTTTAAACAACAACAACAACAACAACACAGATTTATTGCTCTTTTCCCTGAATTCTGGTTCTGCCCTGCAATAGTCTAATTTGCGACTAGTAGCAGACATTATACAACATTACAGCCCAAGGGTCCCTCACTTCCACTTCTGGCCTTCTAAGAGCTCATGAATTATCATATTGGGTCAAAACTAGCCGAGCTCACTGAACCAACTGGATATTCTGGTCACCCACTCAAAAGATCAAGTTATATGTCCCCAAATGGCTTTATCACTATGGCTTTGGAGATGCAAATCACTCCAAAATCACTTACATTTTGTTTCTACCATCTGTTAATGGAATACGTTCAGGACACTTTCTATTGTTGCATAGAACAAAGTTATATCTACGCAGGATCAAAAGTCCCAGCTCAAAATTTTGGATTTGGCCGTTTCCTGATTATCAGACCCTTTTGTGTTACATTCCCAACCTCTGTTTCCAGTCACAGGCTGGCCTTGAGTGTGTCCCCACCAGGCCGCCCTACTCTCCAGTTCAGGTGCCCCTGGTTCCACAGCCCAACAGTCTAAGCTCTGCTTCCATCACCCATTCCCTTCCCTCTTATGTAGGGCTACACAGAGTATCCAGGGTAACCCTGTACACCAAGATCCTTAACTTAAGCACACCTGCAAAGTTCCTTTTGCATGTAAGGCCTGGAAATCAGGATGCAGACATCTTTTGGGGTGACCACAGCTATGCTACATTTACTATAGGATAGGACCTAGGCTGGGTGTAGTAGCTCATGCCTATAATCTCAACACTTTGGGGCAGAGGCAGGAAAATTGCTTGACGCCAGTTCAGGACCAGCTTGAGCAACAGCAAAACCCCGCCTCTACAAAAAAAAGGAAAATTAGCTGGGCATGGCGAGGCAAGAGGATTGTCTGAGTCCAGGAACTTGAAAGAAAAAGAAAAAAGATAGGACACGTTTTAATTCTCCTACAATGTCCTTTCTTTTTTTTTTT